AATTTAAAAAAGAATAAAAATAAAAATAAAAAAAAACTTTGGTTGCTGGTTCCACGTTCTTCATTTTTTTTTAGTCTTGTTACCAAACAAAAAAAAATTAAAAAAAAATCTCAAAAAAAAAAAAAGAAAATTTTTTTTGTTGCGCGTTCTCAAGTTCTCAATTCTAAAAGTGTATTCCTACTTTCTTACTTTTTTTTTTTCACGTTCACACGTTCTTCAATTTTTTTTTAGTTGTAGTCTTGTTAAAAAAAAATCTCACTTTTTTTTTTATTCTTAATTTTTTTCCCTTTTTAATTTTAAAATTAATTGTGATTTGATTTTGTAATATTTTATTTTTGGTAAATTATGATTTTATTTTGTTTCCTCATTTGTATATTTTAATTGTTGCCTTATTTAATTTTTCCTTTTACAGTTTCATTAACTCTTAGGATTATAACTAGGATTGTAATTAATTGACTAATTTAGATTCCTAACTAGGATTTTCATAATTTGGTAGATTTAGGTTTTTGACTTTAGGAATAGTTTCCATTAATTAGATTACATTTCATAATTTACTCAATAAAATTTAATAATTGATTTTGAGAATAATTGTGTGGTTACGTGAAAAGTATAATCTGAGGGAGTTTAGGAAAGTTGGTACTTAAGCGGGCCTCGCCCCACCAATCTTTCCTGGGAACGTTGTTCTGTCTAGGAGACTATTCATTGAGCCAAGAGCTATAGTCTTTCCTGGGAGCACTCTCGGTGGTTACAATTTACGTTACTATATAATTATTTTCTTTTTGATTAAAAAAAAAGAAAAAAAATATAATAAAAAAAAAATAATAATAAATAAATAAATTTGTGAAACGTTATAGGGTGAATGAATCATTATAGAGACGAACTAGGGAGATTCACAGTAAGACCGGAGAACCTTAGTGAAATTTCTTCCCACACGTCTAGTCCTCCTTCGACCCCAGCCTTATTAGCAATTGCAAATCCGTTCGCAATGGCTCAAAACGAGGAGGTCCAACAGAAGACGTTGAACGATTATCTCCACCCTACGCGTACGGCCACACCATCATGCATTATGTTTCCCCCAAATATGCCGAATTTGGATTTCAAGCCAGGCATGATCCAACTCCTGCCAACCTTTCACGGGTTAGAAAGCGAGAATCCATACGTTCATATTAGGGAGTGTGAAGAAGTAGTTGCCACTTTTCACAACCGAGCTGAAGCCGTGGACTCAGTGCGATTAAAATTATTTCCTTTCTCTTTGAAGGAAAAGGCTAAAAGCTAGTTGTACTCTCTACGACCTAGGTCTATTGGAAGTTGGGAAGAAATGACGACATCATTTTTCAACAAGTATTTCCCTCACCATAAGACCAATGGTCTGAAGCGACAGATCTCGACCTTTACCCAAAAGGACAATGAAACTCTGTATCAAGTTTGGGAACGGTTTAAGGATCTGTTAAATCAGTGTCCCCACCATGGTTACGAGAGTTGGCGCCTCGTCAGTTATTTCTACGAAGGACTCAAGATTCGAGAGCGCCAATTTGTGCAGATGATGTGCAATGGTGAATTTCTCCAAAAGGATCCTGAGGAGGCTTTTGAGTATCTCAACGAGTTAGCCGAAAAAGCCCACACTTGGACCGGACCTAGTGCTACTGACAGCACCAATAGGTCCCGACCAGTTGGAATCTATCAATTACGGGAGGAGGACAACCTCAAAGCCCAAGTCGAATCTTTAACAAGGCAAATCGAGGCCCTCAAAGGCAAAGAAGGTAGAGGAATCCACACGGTTGCAAGGGCAGAAACACATGAGCCATGCTTTGTCTGTGGTATGGTGGAACATCTAGCTAAGGATTGTCCTGCTTATGGTGAAATGAGAGGGGTTTATGAGGAGCAATGCAATGCCTTAGGGGCATACAACAAACCCTTCTCTAACACATACAATCCTGGCTGGAGGAACCATCCAAACTTCAGTTGGAGAGATTCCAACCAAGCACAACC